AGAAATAAAAAGCTTGGAATGTGTGAGGCCAAGTCACCATTAGGTCCCGTAAGTCTGGCGGTGACTGAGCAGCACACTACGTGGGCAGTAGATCGGTATCTACCACCGTGTTTTTTATTAGAATTGCAAACTCCCATTGGTTCTCCTGTAATGACCTTTAGAGAGTGCCCACCCTCCGTAGATACGGTGATATTGTTAGCCGGTTGTTTTAGGAACCTGACGTTTACTTTGTCAGTAAACTGGTTTTCGGTCATAATAGCCATGGTGAAAATACTGCCAAAAGTCTGTTGTTGTTTAACCGATGTCGTCTTTACCGACTGCTACTTGTCAATAACGCGAATGCTGGAATAACTACTGATTTTGCGTTGTAGCACCCTTACAATCTTCACTATTGTGGGGCTTCGATTCTACTAAATGTCTTCTTGTCCCCACCTTCTCTCACCTGACTGGCTTACTTCTGAGCGGCCTTCCCTTTTTGGTCGGTCTGTCGCTGTAGGTTTCTTTTAGGGGATTTCATTCCGATTAGCAGACAAGGGAACCGTGGCAACCTCGGTCAACTCTTTCCTCACCCATCACTACTAATGCCGTTTGGGCACCTTTATATGACAAACTACTGATAACAAACACACCGCAAGTATTTATTACATAAAGTCACCTACATACGCACCTAATGGGTCAGGATTTAAACCGCTCGTCATTTTCGGCGTAGGCCTCTTTGTAAGCGGCCAATTGACTCCGAAGGTGAATATGGCTTCGACTTGGGACTTAGGAGACTTGTTTGTTGTTTCCCCTGCTGAATTTGCTTCGGGCGCCTTTCTATGGCTCACTGAAATCTACTTTTTGCCGAGGTCCAGTTTGTAAAAGCTTAGATATATGTTACATTCGATAAATACTGTCGTGGCGTTGCTAGCTACCACTATTTGAGTGGGAATTTTCCGTCGAATATTTCCCGGAATATCTTTCTGCCGGGCGTTTTTGCATGCCTATCGGTCTCAACTCCCGTTCTATTGGTCCATTCTATGCACACCCCGCTCGTTGTAAAATATTTTTTCTTAGAGTGCGGCGGGCAACTTTGTGTGCCTTTAGCTCACCTGTCCTCTTTTGAGATATAAGAAGGGCTCACTGGAACAGATTTATTTGTTGACCCACCGTTGTGAAAACGTTAAATGCATTTTATCGAAGTGGAGCGCCGTTCTTTTCGACACGTTTTCTCTTCTTTCGGTGTCTCGGTCTTCTGGAGGATGTTTGGCGGGATTTTGAGCTGCGCGCTTTATGAGTCATCGCCCCGATGGGAGTGGTTGTGCCTCTGCAGGCCTTGTTCGGTCTGGCGGCTCTTTGCCAATCTTTGGCCTAGGCTATTTCCCTTTAGAGGAATCCCAGTCAAAAAATTTAAATTGGCGACAGAACATCTGACATCTTTATTTTTGCCAAATCTCTGATTCTTCTTGTCCCCGAGGCATCACCTGTCTTAAAGCCACCCGAACATTTTAGCCGATGAACTTCAGTCGAAGGATGGTCTTCAAGCAGTGGTGGTCAAATACCTCCAGTTTTTGCTCGTCCTCTACGCGCAAAGCCCAGCATTCACAACCATAGAGAAGGACAGACCGGACAGATGTACGCTACACGCGAATTTTAGTGGCGATGGAGAGGTCGCGTCGGATCCATAGGCATTTCCGAAGGCTTGAGAAAACCCAGCGGGCAGCATCGATTCGGAAGACAATGTCTTCCTTACTCTGTCCATTAGACAGCGGCCTCGTCCCGATGTATTTAAAACTGTCTACCTCTTCAAGTTGACAGCCATCAATCCCGAGGGGTGCCCTCTCCTGGTCAGGGATGCAGCTTGAAAACACTTTGGTCTTCCCAGCGTTTATGGATAAGCGGACCGATTTAGCGACCTCGTTCACCCGTGACACCATAGACGGCAGATCACCAAAACTTGAAGCAAGTAAGGCGGCATCATCGGCATAGTCGAGATCAGTCAGTCGGTGTCCGGGTGCAAATTCAACACCATCATCGTGTAGGGCCCTCCCGAGAATCCAGTCAACAGCGTAGTTGAACGGAATGGGCGATAGGATATAACCCTGTCGAACTCCAGACCGAATACCGAACGGTTGGGTAAGATTGTTACGGACCAGGATTCTCACAGTTGTGGAGCGATAAGAGTCCATGATCATGGCGATGATATTTGCCAGTATACCATCCAGTGCCACTATCCGTCACAGGGACGGAATCGAACGCGGCGAAGTCAATGAAGCAGACGGCCGTCGGTTGTTGGTAGTTATGGCCAAATTCTAGAATGCACCTCAGGATGAATATCCGGTCTGCGCATCCACGTCCAGCACGAAATCCGGCTGGGTTGGGCCTCGTCTTTGAGTCACAAACAGCCTGGAATCGCCTGAGTAGGACAATAGCAAAAATCTTCGCAGTAACTTCGGTGAGGCTTATGTCGCGGTAGTTCTCGCATCTCTTCCTATCTCCCTTCTTGAGGATAAGTACAAGAATGCATAAGCCCCAGCCATCAGGAACAACCTCGTCTCTCCACGCTCGTTCAGGGCGTCAGTGTGTCGACACAAGACTTGAAGATTTCAGCGGGTATACCGTTCTCTTCGGGTGCCTTATTGTTGCATAACTTTCTATTAAGTGTGTCAAAGGAACTAATATATAAAACCAGATCATCATATGTTCATGAGTTGTCAGCATTTGAATTCAGGATAAAGAGATCCGATCTTTTAGTCTCGAACTACGTTGACTGCGACAAACCGCCATCTGTGAAAGTTACTCTATCCCAGTTACCTATTAGTCGTTCGACGCTCCAAATGCATCAAGTGTCCCTTTGAAAGTGAATTTTAAATTTCGCTCGAATTATCTATTGGGCTCGTGATAAGTGCTAGCACTACTTGGGTTTGTTCCCTTTCTACTTTCAGGTTTGATTTCCGTTCTGACAGGAGCCTAGAAAGCGCAGTGTAAAACATGCTGTTTGTTTTTTGTGCCAAGACATATCGGAGAAAGTCGAATTTTCTGGCAAAAAGGATTTGCCATTCCACGTTACTAGGGCTCAAACTGATCTTTCGGGATGGTGCATAGCAGCATTCGAGTCCACATACAGCCACGGATGCGCTAATGATTTATTTTTTAAAAGTCTGGGGCTCCAAAGTTGCAAGTGGAGTACTGGGGGATTTTCGCAGCTTGCCCCACCCATTTGGGCCTGCCCCTTAGTGAATGAGAAGAACCGTATGTTAGTCGACTAGGGGAATGTTTCATAAACCATCTGAAATAATCACATCAACAATCATCTCTTTACCGGTTCTTGCCTGATATGTATCCTCTGTTGGCGTGTGGGATCCGAAGTGTGTATTGCGCATGCTAGACCTTGCTTTCTAGGGCAAAGGCTAATTAAAACGGATGGTAGCACTGCCACGTAGTAACTTATATTGGACGCGGAAGTATTCTACTACGCCGTTTAGCCATACCGAGCAGAACCGCTGAGGAGACGTGACCACTATGCAGTTTGGGTCGTAGCACTCTCTCAATTGCTATGCCTGTCTTGCAACTCATCCATAATTTGGTTAGTTTCATTAATTTCCTTTTAAATTGACCCCTCCTAGGTAAAGTGATTAGTATTTCCATCTATGAGTCTTCCACCCAGGGTTCCTCAGTCAAAGATGCTGAAAGGCGGGAAGTACCGGAACTGTTGGTGTATTGGTTCTATGATAAGTCCTATTCAAACCATCAAAGGCAACCGTTAATCACCGTCTCCTAGTTGATAGTTTTGTTGCCTTCACTTCGGTGGTACTTTATATTCATTGATTTTCCTTGATTATTCCGTGGAAGTTGACATTTTAGCTTTACTTTGCCCATTTGCACTCAGTGAGTGCGAAGAAAAGCATCACGCTCCTTCGGCTGTTTTCTTTGAGAGAATATTCTTAAAATACCATTAAAATTTCCCGTGAGATCCTCCTGGACATCTATTCTTCCTCCTCTTTTGTTTTAGACCTCGAAATGGCCCTTTACAGGGCTATCGCTCCCCTGCTGGGACGCGGCATTTCCAGGCGTCTCCTTCCATCCTGCATGGGGACCGGACACTTAAGTAACGGCCAGTCCAGCGTCTCGAATGAGGCGCCGTCGGAGGCTCAGGAGGCGCAGATAATAGCCTGGGTTCGCTCCATCCGCAAGCACAAAACGCGGTCATTTTTGGACGTCAACGATGGCAGTTCCCCGAAAAACCTGCAGGCGAGTTGATTCTCTTACTGTTTCTTTTTTTACCAGTTGGCAGATTTTTCTGGGTCTGCCTTGTGTATCTTTTTTTCTTTCAACGTCCGGCCTCATGTACATACTTTCTTCCCACCTGCTGCTATCACGGTGAGCAGTTGACCTTGGACCTCAATGTGGCTTTGGACGATTTGCCTTTTGGCTTCTAATCATGGTATCCACGACCCTCAGCGTAGCTCGTTTAGCTTTTATTTTGGCGGTCTTTCTTGTAAATTTGAATCGTCCAGAACTAAAGATCGGCTGCTTTTGCCTGCCACTTGCACCTTCCCCCTACTGCGTTTTCCAAGCTCTGCAGGGAATTTTACATCCTGGAGTAGATCGACGGACATTTCTCTCACGTCTCCTCACCGTAATACTTTGCGCCCGTGTGTACCGGATTCACTCTTCGTCTGCTGAAGCGTAGTAAACTTATTGCTGTGTGGTCCCCCCTCTTTTTATGCCCAGGTATGATACTAATCGTTACTCTTACGGCATCCCCTTCCAAGCCCACCACCCGGGGAGGCTGAACTGACTGGATATCGGGCTGGAGATGTGCTCACGTAAGTGCGGGCCGAGATGGCCGGAAGGTCAGTTACCACTGGAAGAGTCAGTAAGTAGCATGAACGCCACCACGAGGTGTCGGCAGATGCGGGCAACTGCGGACAGGTGTAGAGAGTAAACTTTATAAGATCTTACGTCGATGCGCATCTGAACGAAAGTTCAGCCAGTTTTTCTTTATGGGAATGCACTGGAGAGCGTAAACGAGCTTATGTTGATTCTTCCCAGTCCACTCATTCGAAGTTGAAGGCGCAGTTTGCTCCCGCTTTTTCGCCCTGGAAACCAGATCCGTACTGTTGTGGACGCTCCTATGATAGAAAACAAGTGGTCAATCATAAAAAGAAGTGTGCTGACCAGACCTTTTTTGGTCTGTTTGTTGTCCTCAGCTAACCTTGGCTTAACCCCCCGCCTCCTGATCTGGACTTTGAACAACATTCAGGAAAAGTTGAATGCTATCAGACGGTTGCCTGTCTAACTGAGATGATTGTATCTACGAACTCGCCTCTTCGCTTCTATCAACATAGTTATATCTGGTGCACATGCTGTACGCCGCTGACTTCGATGTTGGTTGCGAGGTTTGAGTCCACAGCAGCGTTCCCGTCGCTGGTGGATGTTTCGGTAGCACTAACTTCAATTTTGAAGTACTGCATTAAATTCTAGAGCTTTTTTGAAATTTCCAGATTACGAGAGATAGTTAAAATTTGGCTTTGTACTTTCTCGTACTGTGAGAATGTAGTATCGCTTTGCCTCGCTTTCAGTCAGTGATTGCTTGCTGCCACCGTAGTATGACATCCAGTGACAAAAGGTGATTTTTCCGGCCGTCGTTACTCATACCAATACCTTCAATCCTTAATGTAGGGCACTTCGACCTTAATTGCCATGGCCTCACAGTCAGCGGTGAGCGCACGACCTAATTTGGCATACGTTCCTGACTTCTTAGTAACATTCGGACTGTAAGCTGATGGACCAATGCGGTTGTCGAGACTAGATGACGTGTTAGTCTGACTCCTTTTTTAAATGCCCTTAGAACAATCCTTGTTGAAGTCGAACTGATTCAAGTTTGGGTTGTGCGCATCTGGTGACCTACACATCCTCCGTCGCAAACGAAGAAAACCGCCAGCGTCCGTAGACATAGCGACGACTGCGCGTCGCTAAGATTGCAATGCATTCGAGCATCGCATGGGCCTATTTGATCATATGCCAATACACGCCATTACTCCCTAAGATACGACCAATCGCTCATGGAGAATTATAGTTAGGTTTACCTCCGTCGGCAATAACTTGTCGCGTGCGTCCGTGTCTGAATATGGCACAGTTCAGACGAAGGCTCCGCTCTGTGCCAACCACTGCGCCTGATCTCCTCATCTCCGCCTCCCGGGACTACATGAGGGAGAGAGAGCGAATAGTGCGTGGCCTATTCAACGTGAATCCCCCCGCCGAGTATTCCCACCGTCTCAGTACGCTAGAGTTATCGCCTGCAATGCCATTAACTGAGGGATAACTTGTACCTCCTCCGAACTAAGGGTCAGGCTCCATTATGATAAACCACCTAAGTGAAATTGGAGACCCTATTAGGTCCTGTTTGTTTGTGCACGTGTGCGAACGCATAGACCTGATTGTTATGGACCAGAACTCATACAGTCGTGGGCATATAACTCCGTTTTATTACTCTCTACGAGCACTCACGATGGAAGAAATCAAACGCTGTGGCGAAGCCAACGAACCGAACGGCCGTTAGTTGCCGATAGCTACTGCAGAATTCAAGAATACGCCTTATTGTGACCATCTGGTTCCCTCCTGAAGGCCTGCTACACTCCGTGGGGACCAGGTGACGTGCGGCACGCGTAGACGGTCTGTTTAGCGCCGACCAGTCCCCGCACCACACGACCGACGGGCCGGCTGGCACATGGGAGAGGGAGGAATGGTTTTCACCGGAGAGCCCATCTCTGCGACAAACAAACACACTCCTTTGTGTGATAAATCTGACGGGGGGGGGGAGGAGATTGCCAAATGATGGGTTAACGTAGCCCTCGTGGCACGCGTAGATGGGCTGTTGGACTTTAGAAGACGAAGATATGATCACTGGAACAGGAAATTTCTTGGCTTGACGTTTCGGATTCTCACTCGAGTCCATCATCAGAGACAGTCCATCATCTGCAACTGTCTCTGATGATGGATTCGAGTGAGAATCTGAAACGCCAGGCCAATAAATCGCCTGTTCCAGTGACCACGTCCTCGTCTTCTGAACGGCTACCTGAAACTCGCCTGTTGAACTTTGTCGACCGCTGCGTCTGAACCAACCTCAGATCTTCTTGAAATTTTCTCGCCATCGGAGCCTGGCGGCCGCGGGAGTCTGTCCCAGGGTAATAGAGTTAAGCCCCACGTCATTACCGAGCCCTGAGAACAATGGCGACCCTGGTCGGTCTCTAGGCGTACGGAATTCTTATTGACAGTTGGTATGGGTTCATTGCATTCCGCAGTTGATGGACGACCACTGCCATCTTAATGCTGATAAACAACCCGAAGTCGGTGCGCCTGAGGGCAGAGAGCTCTAAGCCTCCGCTTCGGCTGTGGTGTCCACCGTGTGTAAGCTTTTGCGAATAACATACCGTGCACTCTAGTTTGGATAATTTTGCCTCGGACTGGGCACGCTGGAGGTTCAAGTTCCCCGCGTGACCTAAACTCTGGCGCTACTTCCAAAATGCTAATACACGAAACCGAAATATATCCATCGACTTCAGGAGTCCGTGTCATGCAGTCAAATCCTGTCCGATTGAGGCGTTTTACCCTCCTCTAAGAGGACCTCTTCGAGTTTTTTTAGTGAGCTGGCCATAAATTTCTGTTTCTTGATGTAGGTGGGAAGGTAACACGCATGTGCGAGTAGTTTTGCAGTTCGCTCATCAACTTCAAAGATCGACGCCTGATGAGTTCGGATTGCCTTTTCGGCGTACTGTCCGCAGGACTGTTGTTTCGATGACTCTCACTGGAATGCTACTCTGTGATAGGGACCAAGTGCTTGCGTCCACTTTCAAACCAGCGCAGTGTAAATGATTGCTACGCCGAGTATTCTGATCTAAGAAGACTGTGGGGTTTAGTGTACTGGTACTATCCTTGTGCTGGTAAATCTTGGTGATTTATTATCCTCTTTAGGCATCTTTCGCCACTTGCGAAATCTTCGCCGGCCTATTTATCACTACTCCTCACTCTCAACTGTTACCAAACCGTAGCCCCGCCTCGAGTATGGGATGGGCGACCAACTGGTTACGTGTACATCCACCGGACTCATGTGAGTGAGGGAAGAAAGGGTGCGGCAAATGCTGCGAAAGCCTTGTGTCACCGTGAGCGGATCCACGCGGATCCCTGCACTCGCCATGCTGTAGGACAAACGGTGGACATCGTGGTTAACGACAGTCGAACTGTCAGGTGGATATCGTTGGCATGCAAACCTATATCTACCGATTTTGGGTATTTTATATCTCTGAAACCCCTGTCCACTGGCTACCGACATCATTGGCGTCCAATCGACCCAAAGTAAGCTGGCATGAAACCTTTTATGACCCGGATGACTCCTTGCCTCGCTTTCAATAGTTATTTCTGACGTCACTTACCGGATACCGTAGTACTTTAATTAGTTGTCTTTCACTGGACCTGCAAAGTGCATTTATCGACTCCGAGCTTGTTTAGTCGCGTGGCAAGATTGGCGAACAACAGCTGGTTTAATACCAAAAGCACTTCTACTTATCTCTATCATGTGTTGTTCGCAATGCCTGATTCGACAAGCTAGCAAAAACCCCTCTGGCTAGTCTCTTCAAACACCGACAAACTCGATTTTCACATATCCACAGTGCTTTACCTGCTCTTTTTTGTATTCCAAACAAGTTCGACTTTTCAAGTAGTAAACGTACTGGATTAGTAGAGTCCACGCCCATCTCTAGTCGTTGTGACTTTGCTTCTTCTGCTGGAAGGTGTTGGACGTGAGGTGGGCGGACCCGTCCACTGCTACATAAGCTTCTTTGGCAATAAACAAATTCATGCGCAGGGTCATCACTGCGCCCGAGTCCTCGTCTAGTACTGCGAGAGTATTATTACTGACGCTTTGTTTCCCACCAGTAGTCACCCTAGAATTCCCACAAGCAAGGTCACTTTTGGCCAAGTGGTAGGACCCTAGTTCGTAAGGCGACAACGATGGGAGAAGCCCACCCCCCCCCTCCCTACGGGGTGATAGAATTCGCTACATCTTGTTTTTTTGAAATGGATTTGAAGAACCCAAGAATTACTCAGCATACAGACCCTTCGTTCAGCTGCTAACGGTCACCGTATATTTATAAAGCTAACTGTTAATTAAGAATGCGGCCTAAGACGAGCAAAATACATAGATACCTAAACGGCAAGCAATGCTGACCAGACATGCCTGTGGGCCTAATGCGAGTAGG